AAAGTATAGGTCTAAAATTTTTTAAAGCTTTTGAATTCAACACTTTGTTATGAGCTCATACAAAAAATTTACATACACTCAATAAATAGGACCTCAAATCAAACATTATTGCTTAAACAAATTGGGTCACTTGTTTTATATTGGTCACACTAATTGCGTCACATGTATGCGTTAGTCATATTTTATTTTCATGAAATATTTCTTATATATTTTTCATTAAGTAATCAGTAAATACATTATGGTGTCAATGAAAAATCAGTGAACAAAAGAGGAAAGTAATCTTAATACTGTGAGCTGTAAATATATATTAATTACTGCCTTTTCTCTATATTTTATTAAAGGATTGTCAAATACTAAGGATTGTAAAAATATATTTGCTTTTAAAAACTATACTTAATTTATTTGGATTTCTGCTCACAATTGTTCCAATTTAACATCTTAATCAACAGTCATTATACATTTTAACATCGAATAAAGATTATAGGTAAAAAATTAAGCATAGATTCTTATAGAGCTTTTTATTCTTATATTTTTCTTTGTTTGTTATATATTTTTTTCTTCCTTTCAGCATAATGTTTTTTAATATCTATGTTATGGATTTCAGGTAAATACAAGGTAAACAACAATATTTTGGTAAAACATCAAATTAGTATAATAATAATTATTCAACATAAGTTGTAAGCAAATATTTTAAAAGTATTTTTAGCTAGTTTTTATGTAATAAATATGCGAATTGATTAATATTCAAATTGAATATTATTGTGAATTTCCTCATGTTCTTAGAAATTAAAATCTCTAACTTAAATTTATCAAGAATGATTGCGGAACCAAACAAATAAAAACTTTGCATGGAGGCTCAGTTCAAATTTGAGATTTTAAAATGTATATATATATTATTGCAAAATTACTTTTGATTGTTTGAAAAAGATTTATCATAATTTTTGCTTACAATTGTATAATTCGTGCTTACAATTCTGTAATTTTTGCTTTTATTTCTTTACTGCTACAAAATCTTAATCAAAAAAGATTTGATATTGTTCAGTTTCTTTGACAAACAAATATTAATCTACTTGATTTTTTTTTTTTCTTTTTTCTTTTTTTTTTCTTTGCTGCTGCTGCTTTTAGGCAATTTGCCCCGGATCCTGAAGCAATCTGAAATCAACTTCGTGAGCAGTTCCTGATACTTTGAAAGCCAGAGCAAGCAGGGGGGAAGCTATGTTGGAGAGCGTGCAGAGTATGGATCTCCTTATTTAGTCTAGCAAAAACTAGTAGCAGTAGAATTACACGCCTTTTGTCGATAAATTGCCGATGAAAAATAGGTCTTTATTTGTTTCAATTTCTCAATACTTTTGGAACAATTCAATTGTAAAGCTGCGCTTTTTTACGAAGGAATATCAATCTACTCCAATGTCTTGATTTTTTGTTACTTTATAGGAAATCCGTCCCAGATCGCAATGCAATCAACTTCGTAAGAAGTTCCAAGGGTTGAACATTTTTTTAGAATATGTGCTTAATTTATTATTATTATTATTATTATTATTGCTGTCCATTCCTAATGGACAAAATTTTATTTTCTTTGTGATTACCTTGATCCACTAAGACTTGGTACACGTATGCTTTTTACATCAAAAAATATACTAAAAATTTCAAATAACGTCCTCTTTTAGAACTACACTCTTAGAATAACTGGCGATGATTGTTCAGTAACCACTGCAATGAGTCAACTGTTAGAAAAATTATATATTTTTTGTCTAATTTCATAGTTTTCATTAGTCAAGATTTTTATTCTCCTCTGTGGAATTTGATTTCAATTGGAAAATTCTACTATATTTTCTTTAAAATAATTTAAGATTTTCGCAAACCACTTTTTTCATTAATAAAACATAAAATAATTTCCTCTCATTTTCACTTGGCCTGAAACTCGTATAACGATAATTTAAAAATGTTTGTTTTTTAACCCTCAATACAATTCGGTCAGATAGGCAGATTTCGTTTCAGCTAACAAATAACTTAAATAAAATAGTATGAGAATAGACTGTCATTTTTTAAGTTTCTAAGTTTTTGTAATGACGATCATAAACTCCCTATGCGTTAGACTATTTGTTTTTAAAAATATTTAAATTTTTGAATTTTTTGCAGCATCAAATTTAAAAGCAAAGTAGACCTCGATAATTTTAAAAAAAGATTATAGTTATTTCAATAATATTATGCAAATTGAAAATAAGGACAATTTTAAATTTTAATCAGGTAATTATTTTAAATTTATTTTAAAGGTAATTTATTTTAAATTTTTATCAAGTTTTTATCATTAATTATGGACCTTTTATCGGATAATTGCCAGTGTAGAAATTTCAGAATGCCTACGAAACATTAATTACTCCTCTTCATTTAAATAGATATCAAATTAATAGGAGTTTTCTTAAACAATTTATTCTGTCCAGAAACTTAGGCGTAGAGTCTAAGTGGGGGGGGGGGCACACGCCCCCTCAATAACTTATCAATTTTTTCTTCTACAAATTATAACTGTAAAAGAAAACAGCAAAAAACTATTTTTGATTTAATAAAAATTTAATAACTTCAGATACAGTTCGCGAATAAGTATAAGGACATCATTAAATTGAATGAATATATGCTGAATATGCCCTGTCCATGCCAGACAATAACATTTATAGCGCATAAAAAATAAAATTTGGCTTAAAAATATGAATTTTACAAAAATGAACACTAACGAAAATATGAAAAAAAAGTATTAGGACGTGTTCTACTACACTTAAAATTTTCGTCAATAATCAAGAAAACTACCCTTTTTTTCAATCACTTGAATAAGTCAAGTGGTCATGGGTCTGGAAATATCTCTTAACCAATTTTTGGCCAAAGATGCGCAAACGCATAATTTCAATAAATATTTTTTTATTAACATTGTGACATATATTTTTTGCTAATTTTATTTTTCTGTGGTTGTCAAGGGTTCTGAAGACATCCATAAATTATTAGTAATTAAATTTGAAGAAACACTTTCTGTTGAGAAATGTTTAAACTATTCAAAATTTTTATTGACAAATGAAATTTTTTGAAAATGTATAATTATTCCTTTTAAGATTTATCGTATGTTTTTAAGATGGATAAAAGTTCTAAGTCAGTAAATAAAAGAAATAAAAAAGATTTCATTAAAAAACAAACGTTCACCTAAATGGTTTGTTCATTGATTTGGTGAATGGTGCCTATACGCAGCATTCAAATTCTTATACAAAAAATAATTTATCAAACACGAATTTTTTTTTTGTGTCTTAATGTACGTAAAATAAGCATATTTCAATGAAAATAATACCACATTTTATAAAATTTCTATGCTTGGCCTAAAATGGGTTAAAGTGTCCACAGAAATTTTCTTCCAAGCGTCTTTGATAGCGAAGACAAACTCCTATTTACATTGATATTGTGTGCAAATTTTATAAACTTCTCGGGCTAGAAGTCCCCATAAGTTTTCGATTGGATTAAGAATCGCCGGACAATCAATTTAATTTACAGAATTATCTTCAACCCAGAGCTCTTGAAACGTGTATCGAAGCATTATCCTGTTGAAAAATAGAGTCTCCTGAGTTAATCAGTGACGCTTCAGGTAACAAACTTTCATATCGACATATTTGACGCAATTTATTTTACTGTTGATAAAGACTATTGAGCAGCTCTTTGCCAAGCCTCTAACTATCACTGAGGCACCGCCCTATTGACATTTGATCTTTCGCAGATCATACCAAAACCCAACCATTCATAACCATAATGAAAAACATCAGGTCCATCAAGGTTGAACTCTTTCTCGTCAGACATCAGTCTATTTTTGTCTGAGAGAAATGTATTTTTTGGCAGTGTCAAACGTTCTTCTACCATGTTAATTTGTAAGAAGTGGACACTAATTTTTCATAAAAAAGATGCGTTATGAACAGTTCTTACATAACGTGGTAAATTCAAAATTAATGTAACAACTTCAGTTTCTTTTGCTGGCAAGCTCTCCTGACAATTATTCTTTTCTGTCGGCGAAGTTCTGATCTCCCACTTCGTTTTTTCATTCCATGCATTCTAGGATTTTTTTTTTTTGGAAAATTACTGTTTTAGATCTTTTGATTCTTTTTTAAAATTTTCATTCCACATTCTCGAAAAGTAATAATTTTCCTTTTTTCAGAATCAGGAATGAGTTACTTTGGGTATTATTTAAATATCATGATTTTTTAAAAATTATTTCGATTATTTAACGATTTTGATGTTGAAATCAATAAGTACCTGTATAGTTTATAAATGTGATTTTTGTTATTAATTTATGCTCAATGTAATTTTCTTTTTAATTTCAATTGTTTTCTATTAATATTGCGTAATAATTTTTAAGGGCCTGTTTATTTTTTTTAAACTGTCGAAATATTTTAGTATCGTTTAAAGTTATTTTTGCTTTATAGCATTGAACAAATTTCAGCCTGTTTGGAACATTAAATTTTTATTTGGATTTTTTTTAAGTATAAAAATTTAGGTAAAATGTGATAAAGTACTTATGTTCAGTATTCTTGCAATTTATAAATTATTGGTTAATCAAGAAATTCCATTTCCTACGAAATATCGCTAAAAATTATGGAGAAAAAACATCTTATGAACTATTGATGCATTATAGTTAGTTTCAAAACGTTATATATTTATATGGATCATAAAACTTTAATTCGAAACTACGTTTCTCTTACTTGCTGTATCTCTAACTAGTAAAATTTTTGACCAATTTACTTGAAATTTTGACACTATGTTCATAATAAACATAGTTTTCGTTGCAAGAAGGGATTTATTAATTGAATTGAATGGCTTTGAGTGTTTCGAGAAAATTTAACTTTTTTTATGTCATATTTTGAATTTGCTTTTTCAAAGCATCACCCACCACCAGTTTTTTTAAAAAAAATTACTTTTAATAAATTCTGCGTGCAACGAAAACTATATTCATATATTTTGAAAAAATCAAAACGGAATCAAATTTCGATGATTTTTTTTTCTACTCATGAAGTACAGCAAGTTATGGATAGTTTAAAAAATAAATAATAAACATTGTATTACATAAGCGCTATTTTTTTTCTCCCTTTTTTTCGTATTTATAACATGAGAAAACGAAGATTAAAATCTGTACAATAAGATAAAAAAACGTATTTTGTTAAATCGCTGCAATATTCATTTAATTTTTCTGCGTAGTTCCCCCTACAGGAAAAGCATAATGCTTATAATTTTGTATCACACATTCTTTCTTCTGTCTCGGTTTGATTCCTCCATTTTCGACCAGAAAGTGCAGCTGCAATGGCATCTTTAACAGCCACGATTTCTTTTCGAATGTTCGAATTCAACCATCCATACAAAATTGGATTACTCGTAGCTGAAGTCATAGCTATCATGTGGCATACTACAAATGACATGTACAAATTATTAGCTGACATAGATTTAGGATAGAAATCTGCGATCAGGCTAAAAATGTTCCAAGGAAGCCAAGTGAGTCCAAACACCGAAGTTATAGTTACCAAAACGATTGTTGCTCTCCGATTTCTCAGTAATTCCTTTCTGACTCTATCTTCCCCAAACTTTGGTGCTGTGTTTTTATTGCATCGATTCATGACATAGTTCAGATGGGATTCAATTTTCAAATGTGCTGTAAATAAAACAATAGCTGGAATGAGAAATTGGACCAATAATATTATAACTGTGTAAATACCTTTGGCATTATTCCAGGGCCATTTTTCTATACATTTTTCATACTTGTAAATGCCTGGCAATCCAACAGTTTCTACAGTTTGTGCGTAAAGAACAGGGCAAGAAAAAATCAATGATACAATCCAAACTGAAATAATTGAGATAATAATTTCTTTACTCTGTCTTTTCCTTCCTGATGGAAATGCATTCAAAACTTTTTTAAGTCTATCAACAGCAATCACGCTTACAGTTGCAGAGGACAGAAAAACAGTTACACCTTGTACGAAAGGGATAAGTTTGCACATATTTTCCCCTAAAATCCAATTTCTTCTTAACAATGCTATTAGTGTAAATGGTATACAAAACAAACAAAGAATTAAATCAGAAACATTTAAATTAATTACAAAGGGGTACTTTGTTCTGCCAAAGGTGGTTTTTCTAATAATTATTCCTGCAATAACGACATTGCAAAATATACCAGTAAGGATGATTATAGTATAGATGATGATTAGAATAACTTCAGTGACTCGACTAAACATTCTATCGTTTGAGAGGTGACGTTCAACTTCTTTAACAGCATCATCAAAACTAAAGTTCAGTCTTGGTAGAAAGGATATATTTGTATCTGGTGGTATTAGCTCTTCTTGAAAAAATGAGGTAGTCATGTTGCGTCCCTTTTCTAAAAGAAAAACAATTAAATTACATAAAATACACCTCTGTGAAAATATTGTACTATGAAGATCATCTAATGATCACAGTAGAAGTCATTTAGTTTTTCACTTAAGTCCGTTATTGGACAATAAAGAAACGCTAAATATTTAATATTCATTAAAGTATTTTATTTACTATAAATAAAAGGCAAATTAAGAATTTACTTTTCCACCATAAAAAAACTGGTTTTAGATTCCTCTTTAGCAATCAAGTTTGTTGTCATGCAACTCTATATGAAAATGTTTAATAGTTTTGCCACTCTATATTCAACTTAAAATACAATTTTTCCCACTCTTTTGTTTGCAAGTGGCGGGTGTTTTTGCTGCGAGAATCATCACATTTAAACGAAACGCATGTTTAACTGAAATTATAGTTCACTCTTACAATTTAGAAAACGCAGAGTGCCTTACTGTTAGGAGTCACCACTTTGTGTGAGTGCACATATCAAGAATTTGCTTAAAAAATTAGATTTGTTCATCTTATATGATTTGTTGTAATCAGTTTAAATTAAACTGTTCATTGAAAGTGGGACATTCTTTTAAGAACACCCTACATTTCCACACATGTTGCTTATTTATAACAAATACTATTTCATTAAATGTTTAAAAAATTAGTCAGTTGCCTGAAATGGTGCACATTCTCAAACATGTAACAGCTGTATCTCTAACACATCAATAACAGTCTGGCTAAAACTTTGAGCATCTCCTGTAGTAGTTATTGGATATAAATGAGTAACATGCGTGGAAATACAGTAAAAATAACATGATGTAGAATGATTTTTGCTAATTTCCTCCTTGTATTGGCTTTTTCAGTGTGAAAAAACTTAATTTTTTCTGTACAAAAAAGGAAAGAAAAAAATAACTCCATTCAGTTAAATATCTTCCATTCTCTTCGCTGACCTTTCGCTATTTTTCTGGTAACTTCATGATCCTGCACTTATAGTTCTTATTTGGAAAATATTCAATTAAGTGTGATTTGTGGAAGTCGTTATTATTGAAGTTTTTACCATATAAAAAGTTTGGTAAACTTCGAAATAAATTAATTCTGCCTCACTTTCCATGCAATTAGTTTGCTTTTGTTACAAAAAATGGGCAAGTTCTTGCTTTTTCGTGGTGGAGCACGAGTTCTTTGTGGTTTGCAATTCCTCATATAGCTTCGAAAAATTACAAATTTTTTTTAAATGATAGGAATTTTAGTAATAACGATGATCTCAAATCGCACTTGGTTGAGTTTGCGGGAGTATGCTTAGTTCTGCTATAAATATGCATTTCAATAGCAAAACAATTTAGTTAAGCAAATTTTACTGTTTTAAAATATTTAATCAAACCGAAAGGAAAATATATTTTATACAACATCGTTTGTTAACGACTTTTCATGTTCTAAAATTTTTGTCTTGCCAATATAATAATTTTAAAATGCATTGAACTACAAGTTCAAAATTGATACTTATGCGTACCAACGTGTTCTTTGCTGATAAGAACCCGAAGTTATATGAGGCATCATCATGAAAATGGTTATCAAACAGAATGGAAGATATTTGACTGATGGAAATTTATTTTTTGTATAGAAAAAATCAAGTTTTGATTCACACTAAAAAATCGAAATTACTAAATGTAAAATAATTTTTCCTAAACATTCGCCTAAATAGTAATTTTTTTAGGTCTTTTCCATTTTTGATTTTTGGCCACTCTTCTTAAATTTTTACTCAATTTAAACTTAGAACAATACTCATGTGAGTTTCCCTACCCCTGAGAAAAGTGTTTACCTTATAATCCCTCCTTCCGAATAACAGCAATTTTCTTAAAACCACCATTTCTAATTCTTAATTTTCCTGACCCCATTTTTACATTTGTTCTAAATGACAAAAATCTCCCTTGAGTGCCCTTAAAATCAAGGGCATTTTTCCTTTTATGCCTTTTTTCATGCAATCAAAATTTAGAATATGTCTCTTAACATTTTGAAGTTAATGTAAAGTTTATGTAAAGTTTTATTTAGTATGTTTAGTACAAATTTGACCCTTTTTTAATAATTATATGGCGATTACACATGTTGAATTATTCTTAGAGTGAATTTTAGTCATTTTTTAGTTTGTTAAGAATAATATTATCTTAAAAAAAAGGCTTGTTTTCTAAGGAAAAGAAACTCTCTGAGTCACCCAGGACTCATCTTTGCTAATCACGTTTATTTGGCCTAAGTGCATAATAAAAAGCAACATTTAAACATCTGAATGTTAGGGTAAGGTTGCTTTATAAAATGATTCCAGAAACATATGAGAATTAAAGGTAGATTACAGGCATATTTTTATTTTTGTATGTGCAATCATTTAATGTCCTTCGTTGCATTATTGTAACCAACCTTGGATATTATTATTATTAGAAAAGGGTAAATTTTTTCCAGAACTTGAAAAATAAAACTTTTATTGTAAGATTATTATTTTTGTTAAATGCAAACTTTTAATTTAAAATTGAAATGTTAAGCGTCATATTCTAAATTTTGATTGCTTAAAATTTTAAAAAAAGGCCATTAAATTTTAAACGAGAAATACCCTAAAAAATTTCGGTTCCAAGGACATTTAGGGGTGAGTATTTTAATTATTTAGAATATATATAAAAATGGAGAAAAATTCACATTCCAAAACTTATTTGCATGAAAATTAAAAAGGAGATACCAAATATCGTGGTTTTATGAAAGACTTTAAGAAAATTATGGTTATTAGGACACACATTGTTGGCACGGCCACACTCTAGGCACAGAATTTGTAGGAAATTTTCTATAGTTTTCAAATATGCCATCATAAATATTCTGTCTAAAGTCAAAAACTAGATTTTTCCTGCAAAAATTTTTAGCTGTCGTAAAATGCAGTGATCACAAAAACATAAATGTATTAAAAAAATAAAATTTCTCTATTGCCTGTCGTACTGGGATCTCCGTTTTAGTAGTTCAGAATCCACTCGTATGGAACACACGGTTTGACGAGCTTGGTATGTTATTTGGGTAGTTCAGAATCCCAATAATAACATTGCAATAAATACAATTTAACAACATTAAGAAACACATGCAATCGACTGTTTAACAACGGCAATAAAATAAAATATGTTATTCTTTAAAAACTTTTATAAATTCCCCTCCTCAAAAAAAATAAAAATAAGCATATCTAGCATTAATATAATAAAAAATAATTATTAACCGAAAAGAAAAGGCCGTGACTTATGAGAATAAAGAACCATTTCTTTAACACTATTTTATATTTCACAAACAATCTCAGAGAAAATAACAGTTTTTCTTATAAAATTGACAGCTTTATAGTTTGATTTTATTCTTTTATGCGAAAAAGCGCACATCAAGAAAAGTTATTTTTTGTCCAATGAAACGCTAAAATTTTAACCATAAAAATATATTAAAGATAATTTCTTGATATTTTCATAGAAAATTTAAATGTTTTTGTCAAACTTCATAAACATATTTTCCTCAATACTTTAGTTTTATAATCGAAAATAAAGTATAACGAAGGCTTTTTATATAATAGAAGTCAAACACACATTTATATTTTAATTTTAATTATTAAGATTTTATTTATGTCTTATTTCTATTATATAAAACAAATTTGGTTTCTGCTGCCTTGTTACAATTTTTATTTACCTTTTATGTATCAATATTGACTTAATAAATTGAATTTATTGTATGATTAGAAGGCTTTTTAGAAGTTCATTTGAAAAAAAAAAGTTGCCTTAACCGCTAATCTACTTTTTAGTATATTAAGCCAGGGGTTTAATTTGGTATAAATTGCCGGTTCTACTTTGACAATCCTTAAGTATCTAAGTTTTCCTCCTGTGTGAACGTCAGTTCCTAGGTCAAAAAACGTACTTCGAAATAGGGTGTTTGCTCTTTTTAAGATATCTCACAAAAAAAGATCTGCAGTCAAAAAGTGTGAACACAATTGTTGTAGATAGGTAAATTTTGCCTAAAATAAATACCAATATGATTTTCTTTTCTTCCAAATATGCTTACTTCACCGATTGTGAAATTTCACCCGAATTCTCAACTTTTTAAACAACATTCATTTTTTTACCTGAATTAAGACTGAAATGAAGTAGAAACATTTTTGCATAACTATTGTTTGAACAGAGGCTACTTCCTTAATGTTTTGATATATATATATATATATATACTATATATATATATATATGGGGCAATCCATACAAAATTTACACCTATGATACAAAAATGATATAATTTATTTTTTTTTATTGTTCTTTATTGAAAATAAATCGACACGTATTTTTGCGTTTTTGTTTAAATTGCATATTTTTGACTATACGAATTTTTGAAAATTTCGCTTTTTTGAGCACACGACTTTGCAAGTTATTTTTTAACGTATTGCCATCCAACAACAAAAATATTTAAATACACTTTCTTGAAGTGATTTTTCTCAAACTTTAAGAAAATCAACATTAAAATATAAAATTTTTTGTTTTTGACATAAAAAAATTCATTTTTTGAAAAAAACTACTTTTTTTTGCAATTTGGACATCTTTGATTTTTTTTATATTTCGACAATGTGAAGTATAATCAATAATGATAATAATTCCAAATTTTTGGAATGGTAAGACACTTTGTTCGAAAGATATAAACGAAACAGCACGCACGCCTCGCTCTAGTTTAGTAGGTAGCGGATGAGTTCGAGAACAGTCGAGCCATATTCTACATGCATACGCGGAGTGCGCACCGTCACTGTTTTGTTTATATCTTTCGAACAAAGTGTCTTAACATTCCAAAAATTTGGAATTAATATCATCATTGATTATACTTCACACTGTTGAAATATAAAAAAAAATCAAAGATGTCCAAATTGCAAAAAAAAGTTGTTTTTTTCAAAAAATGAATTTTTTTATGTCAAAAACAAGAAATTTTATATTTTAATGTTGATTTTCTTAAAGTTTGAGAAAAATCACTTCAAAAAAGTGTATTTAAATACTTTTGTTGTTGGATGGCAATACGTTAAAAAATAACTTGCAAAGTCGGGTGCTCAAAAAAGAGAAATTTTTCAAAAATTCGTATAGTCAAAAATATGCAATTTAAACA